CTACACACACACAGACACACATATGCACCATAGCATGTCCATTCTCTCTCTCTTTCTCTCACATCATACACATTTATACACATTAAAAATAATAAACAATAAAATAGTGAAAACCTGCATCTTTAATTATTAACCCGTCCACTGATGGGTAAGATGATTGTACTTAACAGAGTGGTATGTATTGGGGGAATGGGCCCTTCATAACCTGCTGTACCAGCAGCAGTCCAGAGCTACAACAGTTGCTTAGGAGAATCCCTGGATAGGACCTGCCATGTGTATGAAGCATGGAACCTGTTACCCATCTGTCATGGTCAGCTTCAGTTGTCAACCTGACACATCTAGGAAGAGGGAACCAGGCTGGGGAATTTCCTCTATCAGCTTAGCCTATAAGACATGTCTGTGAGGCATTTTTCTTTTCTTTCCTTTTAATTTATTTTATTTTATGTGTATGAATGTTTTGCCTGCATGTAAGTGCGCCACACATGTGCAGTGTCTACAGAGGCCAGAAGAGGGTGCTGAATTCCCTGGAACTGGAGTTATGAACAGTTGATAGCTGCCATGTGGGTCCTGAGAACTGAACCCAGGTCCTCTGCAAGTGCAGTCAGTGCTCTTAACTGCTGAGCCATCTTTCTAGCCCCCATGTGAGATATTTTCTGGATTGTTGAATGATGTGAGAGAGCGCAGGCCATTTTGGGTGGTGCCACCCCTGGGCAAGTGGTACTGGGTGGTATAAGAAAACAGGTTGGGGGCTGGAGAGTTGTCTCAGCAGTTAAGAGCCCTGACTGCTCTTGCAGAGGACTTGGGTTCAATTCCCAGCACCCACATGGTGGCTATGAACCTTCCTTAACTCCAGTTCCAGGGGATTCAGCACCCTTTTCTGACCTCTGCAACATTGCACACCATGGGTGCGCTCACATACATGCAGGCAATATACTCATATACACAAATTTTTTTTTTTAAATATAGGCTGAAGGCTATAGAGGTGGTACAGCCGTTAAAGGCTAAGGCTAACAACCAAACCAGTAAACAGCATTCCTCTATGGTCTCTGTTTCCATTCTTGCCTCTAGGTTCCTGCCTTGAGTCCCTGCCCTGAATTCCCTCAATGAAGGACGGTAACACTGAAGTGTAAGCCAAGTAAGCCCTTCCCTCTCCAAGTTAATTTTAGTCAGTGCTTTATGACAGCAACAGAAAGCTAACTAATACATCATCAATTCACTTCTCTACTTGTACCCTGTAGAGGCCTCCGCCCATGTGCATATCTATGGTAGTAAAGAATCAGGAACAACTTAAATGTTCATGCATAGACCAGGAAATACATGGATACATGCATTCTATAGAGCCAACCAGCATCCTATAGCATATCTGTGTGTCATTAGAGGGACCAGTCTCCAAGATACCTCTAAATGGAGGGGAAAAAGGGAAAAGAGAAGTGTCTGTACACTTCTTAACCCTGTCTTAAGAGCAGATCCATGCATCCATGCTTTGACATGCTTTATCTCTGAGAAGAGTAAGAAACAAACCTCCAGGAATGAGAGCAGGAGGCTGAGGCCAGAGGGAAAGCCAGTTCCCTTCCAGATGGCCCGAATTTCTTCCTCACAGGTCTGTGGCTTTGAAGGGAAATGAGAGGAACAAGGAGAGACCTGACCTTATAGAAGCCACAGACACGCAGGCACACAGACACACAGACACACAGATGAATGCGCGCACACACACACACACACACACACACACGTCAACTGAACCAGCTCAGGTGCAGATCATGAACACCACCACCACCCCCACCCTCCCCACAGAGAGACGAGATCATGCAACAGAGTCAGACCACAGCACTTCAGGGCACACAAGACACATCCAAAAGTGTTCACTGAGAGGCAGGTGGAATATAGGGAGAAAGGGAATGAGCAAGGGTCTAGACCCCCAAGAGACTAAGGACCCAGGAATGGACCAGGAAGGGGCAAGCAAACTGGAAAAGAAGGAGGTGGCAGAAGGATCTGACTCAGGCTTGAGCCTTCAGAGGCAGAGCAGAGCTGGGAAGGAGGGCCAGGGACAGAAGGGCTCTGAGAAACACAGGGACAACCAAGAAAGAGCTGCGAGACAAGGGATCGGGAGAGTCTGTTGACTTCATGTTAGCAACCCATGCAGTCACCTATATGGATGACTGCAGTCACCATCTTGAAACTCACAGTCATTTCCCTTTTGAGGTGTCTATAACTATAGCAAGACAATGGAGCATAGACGACAGTAACAGCAAGCATGTATGTGACCCAGAATACACTGGGCCTGGTTCCATGTGCACAGAGCCACAAGGAGACAGAGATGGACTAGAGCTCTGGGTTCCAAGACACCTTAGGCTTTCTGGGAAACTCAAGAAGCCATACTCAGCCCCTACATGATGGCCTTCATCCTGTGCCAGCAAAGACAGAAATGAAAACGGGGTGGACAGGATCCTTCCTCACTTATCGGAGTCAAACACAGAGCTTTACCAGAGCATGTGTGTGACCAGACATGAATAACACATAATGGAAGTGGCCTGACAGTGGAAACAGCCTGTGGATGGATGGAGCAACAAAGTATATGTGTGTGCCTGCCATGGAACACAACTACGTAAACAGGACTGACGCACTGGCAGCCTTCGCAAAGCAGATGAACCTCAAAAGCATGCTCAGGGAGAAAAGCCAGCCTAAACAGGCCATAAACTGCAGGATCCTGTTAACCAAAATGACAGAACAGGCAGATCCAGGGACAGAAAGGAGGTTGGTGGTTCCCAAGGTCTGAGGGTGCGGGGGACCAGAAAGCAGCTACCAGGGGGCACAAGCTTTTCTTTTGGCTAATAGAAATTGTCTGGAATTAGAGGTGGAGGTTGCCCAACCCTGCAAATACCACTAAAAAAAATCACCGAATTGTACACTTTTGGAGGGTGAATTTTATGGTTTAAATTATAGCCTAGTAGATTTTTTTTATTTTATATATATGAGTGTATTGCCTGCATGTATGTAAGTGCATTCATGTCGTGCAATGTTCATGGAAAACAGAAAAGGGTGTTGAATTCCCTGGAACTGGAGTTGCAGACCACTGTTAACAGTCATGTGGGTGCTAAGATTTGAACCCAGGTCTTCTGCAAGAACAGCCAGTGCTCTTAACCACTGAGCCATCTCTCCAGCCCTAGCCCAATAGAATTTTTAAAAGAAAGAATACACACAGAAGGGGCTGGAGAGAGATGGCTTAGCGGTTAAGAGCACTGACTGCTCTTGCAGAGGACCCTGATTCAATTCCCACACTCACATGGCGGCTACTAGCCATCCTTAACTCCAGTTCCAAGGAAATCTGACGCCCTCTTCTGACCTCTGTGGCATTGCACAACACAGGTGTACTCATACACATGCAGGCAATACACTCATACACATTTAATAAAAATAATTAATAAATTAAATATATATACATATATATATGTATGTCTTTTTGAGACAGGGTCTCCCGGTAACCCCAGCTGGCCTGGAACTCGCTATGTAGACCAGGCTGGTCTCAAACTCACAGATATCCACCTGCCTCTGCCTCCCGAGTGCTGGGACTAAAGGCATGCACCACCATGCCCGGCTTTTAAAATATATATTTTTAAAAGGATACTCAGAGAAATGAGCATGCATACAACCAACAAACTCCGCAGGGTGGCATTGTCAGCCACACTGTTGTCTACAGTGGTTTGAATGGAAAGATGGGTAAGCCCAGGTTGATGCTGGAGTTCACCCAGGTCACTATGGCAGAAAAAGTAAAACTGTTTAAGGGGAATTGGTTTCCTCATAAAAAGAAATGAGAAAAATTAAGAGAAATGAGGGAGGAAATCAAGCTGAGTTAGATCTGGTTTGCTTTGGTTTGAGTGGGAGTTAGTTTACTGCAGCATCACCATTGGTGGCTTCATGTGCCCACGTAAGCTCTAAAATATGAACTGTGTAATTTGGATGACTTTGAAACAGAGCTGACTGTGTTTTGCTTTGTTTTGGCTTGGTTTTTTGTTTTTGTTTTTGTTTTTGAGGCAGGGTGTCATGTAGCCCAAGGAAGTCCCGGGAAGGAGAAATATCTTATGGGGGACCATTTAGTAAGTATCCAGCCAAGGAGGCATAGAGAGGTATCAAGTCACCACAGCTGGTCAATCCAGAGCCACTCATGAAAGCCCACACTGGTCATCCCAGAGCCACAGTGTACTAGGCATGCAAAGGAGATACAGTTCAGCACTGTTAAAGAGGATTCTGGGCTGAACTACCCATGTTTTTGGTAGTACAGTACTGAGGGAGCTTCCCCTGGGACCCTCTGTCCAAAGCTGAGAGGCCACAAGCCACCAGTGAAGATCCCAGGCAGGACAAAGGACTATGGCCTTCACCAAGGGCTGGCACTGGCAGACAGTAAGCCCACAGTCGCCCTGGGTCATTACACTGCTTTCCCTGCCCAGTCCTCCAGGCAAGAGGATCAAGGAAATGTCCCCAGAGCTAAGGGGATGTCCAACAGGATGTCCCACCCCTGGACCATGGCACCTGCTCACTTGGCACAGGAAAGGTCCTTCTGAGAAGTGACCTGCCAATGTCCCCGGCACAAGCCACCTGTCCCTGGTATGGTGCCCTACATTCACTGTAAGGAGCAAGTGCCTCCTTCTTATAGAAAGTTTAGAAAATTCCAGATAAGGCCCAAGAGAGGAATAAGTCACCCTCCAAAACATCCCCCCACCCCAGGTCTTACACCCCCACCTCCTATCCTGTTTCTTATGTGACTCTGTAGAAATTTGGAGCCCAGTATTTCTTTTGTCCCTGAAGGGCCCCAATACAACCATTTAAAGTGATACAACAGCTGTGTAATGTTTGTAACAGGTCCTGTTCTTCCTTCTTTGATACTTGATTTTTTTCATTCTCATAATAAACATATATTGCTTTTAAAGTAGAAAAAAATAATCAACCTTACAAGGGACTTTTTAAAAAAACCATGACCTCCATTGTGACACTTGCTCCTGGAAGCCCAGGCCTGCTCTGTCCATGTGTCCAAGAAGGAAGTACTTTAGCCCAACTAGGGCTGTGCCAGCCTACCTCCCCTAACCTCCCCAAGTCTTCCTCCTGTGGGTCCTTTAAATGCATCTCAGGCACTCAGGCTGCCATCAGTCACCTGCCTGCCACCACCATCATGCGCTGTCTCATCAGCTTCGCTCTGGGCCTGCTCGCCCTGGAGGTGGCCCTTGCTCTGGAACCAGTCTTCACCTCAGGTAGGCCCCAGCTGCACACCTTACTGTTGGATGTGGCTTGTTCCCAGGACTGATCACTGCTCCCTGTGGACCAATGTGCTGAAGGTCCTGGGGATTGGTGAAGGGGCAAGGAAGAAAGGAACAGAACAGTTACCTTGGGGGTGGGGGTTCAGGGATGGCAGAAAAGCAAGACCCCTGTCTTCACACAGTATGCACCTCAAGCCACCTGGCAAAGACCAATATCCAGGTAAAAATGTCCAGGTTAGGAGATGGGTTGATAGGATGGGGAAGTTGTTCTCGGGCCCTAGTGGCTTCTAGTTAGGCTCTACCTCTGACTATGAACCTGTGACATGCTTCCTAAATTTCACAACTGACTTATGCTTCTGTCTCCTGGACCACAGTTCTGGTGGATTTTTTTTTTTTTTCACTTCTAAGAAATGGCATGTTGGGGCTGCTCAGGGACTGGGTTTCTTATAGTTTCTACTCATGTCTCTTCCTCTGAGCAGCCCTAGATGTGAGGATGAGGTCTAGGCCCCCATTCATTTGTTCATCCCTTCTGCAGCTCAGTTCATGTGCCCTGAGGTCAGCTCTGAGGAAGAAAGATCCTGTATCAACCAGTGCAGTACCAGTGCAGAATGTGGACTGGATACCGTGTGCTGCCCCAGCATATGTGGTGGTTCCTGCAAAACCCCAATCAGAAGTAAGGCCCTGTCCAACCCTGGTGGGGGGAGAAGGGAGGAGCTAGCAGGGTCAAGAGTCTGCCTATCTGCTGGAAGAGAACACACAGACCTTTGTACCCACATACAAGCCTGTCTGTGAGCCCCACTCACCTGCCAGACCCTACCTCATGCCTCCTGCTCAACCTGGTCCCTGAGGTTTCTGGGCTGTCCAAGGTGCTGCCTGAAACCAACAAAAGGAAGACGTCAGCACCTTCAGCTTTGAGTAGTAAAGGAGTATCCTCTCTCTCCCCAGTTGGTATCCCAAAGGCTGGCCAATGCCCCTGGAATCCACTCCACATGATCCCTGCCAAGCCATGCCCAGAGCAGAGTGAATGCTCCAGTGACAGTGACTGTGAGGGCATAATGAAATGTTGTAACATCAAATGTGCCATGAAGTGTCTGATCCCTGAAGCAGGTATGCAGATTTGAAACCCTGAAGCCCCCTTTCTCCTTTGGCCCCCTCTAGCCATCACCCAACCCCTCATCGGACCTGAGAACAGGTATAATGCAAGAACAGCCCCAGGACCAGGTCCCAGGGTAGGAGGAAATGTCTTTGCCAAGCCAGGTGTACTGCCTGCAGGCTTCCGTGGGCATTTTGTGTGGCCACTCGGGCTAGGAATGGATGTTGGTGAGCAAGGAGGCTTAGGAAAACACAGAGACTGTTGTAATGCTCACAGCTGGCATTGGTGGAACTTAATCCTAGTGAGTCTATGAGACAGACTGGGCTTTTGCCACTTAACCTGAGGAGACAGTGAAAAGTTCAGTTAGAAACCTGAGCAAGACATTGATTCAGATCCAACTGTCCATGCCCATCTGTAACCTGTGTGTCCCCTCCTTCAGATGAGGGTGCCTCACCCACCTGCCTATGGGGGATTGGGTTGGGGGGGTACAAGAGTTCATGTGGCCACCTGCACAGCTAGGAAAGGTGCCTGTCCTTCAGGTCCCTGGGCTGATAGTATGATCAGTTTTAGATGCAGAGGTAACTCCCCATCTCTCCTCATCCCTGCTCCTGTCCCCCACAGAGGAGTCCTTTTATTGAGCAGCCTGCCCTGGAATCCCTGATGGCCAGGAGTGACTGACCCAAGCCTGCTCAAACAAAAAACCTTCCCTCCTGGATCCTGAGAGAATATGATGCCTCCTATCTGCTGCTAATAAAAAATTTCATTTGGCTTTATATCTCTGTCTGTCTGTCTTTCTGTCCTGGACTCCTGAAGGAGGGAAAAAGCAAGCATAGGCCTACCTCACCCTGGGATCTCCTGGGTGGAGAGGCAGCCACAGGGAAACATCTGATTCACCCATGGCGGAAAGCAGGCATTGGAGAGTGGAATGCTTAGACAGGCTCCCGAACCACAGCCCAACTCCACCAAGACTCTGAAGCCATGGTGGGTCTGGGAGCCGAGAGAGGCCTCCCCACCTGGCTTCAGGGGTATGATGCAGGTCTCCTGCATCTGACCCTTCCAAGGTATGACTAGCACCAGCACTGGCAGCACAGAGGCCACAAAGCAGAACAGTGCACAGCATGAGGTTGGGCACACAAAGACACAGCTCTCAGCCAGCGTGTGCAGAATTCCCAGCAAGGCATGTGTGCCCCACTTGGCTACCAGCCAAGTACCCCACAGTTCATGTCAACCCCAATACTGGCAGCCTGGGTTCACACAGACCCCACAAGTTAGGGATTCAACCCTGCAGCCTGCTCTGACTTCAGATGCCCTCTCCAAGTCTGGAGCCTCATATACTTCCAACTGATTTGGCAATTTATTTGGAGGTCCCTTTGAAGCAAGATATTCTGGAGATATGTGTGCCCCTGCCTTTGGCTATCAGACTACTAAGACCATGGACCCCAAAATTAGCATTTCTCCAGGAGTCTCATGCTGAGAGAAGAACCAGCTGACCCTCTAGTCCAGTCAGGGGAGGAATTTGCCTCCCAGGAAGAGATTTCACACATTGCTGACTGGTACTGAAATACTGATGGGTCAGTGGTGGGTGGGACCACATCTTGGACAAGTTGTGTAATACCTCTTACCCTCTATTTAAGCCTAAACCTCATGTGGGGACCTCAGATTGACCTGGGGAAGGTGGTCCCTGGACCTCTTTATTTGTTCCTCTTCCCCTTAGGGCCGCATTGAAAAAACTCCTTTGCTTTTCACGATTACTTGATTCTTTAATTAATGTATTGTGTACAGGTGGCCTAGTCTAGCTTAGGGCTGCCAGAGCAGAAGCTTTGACACTAACAACTCCAGTAATAGCTTCGGGTTAAATAGGTCCTTTGAATGACTTACAGAAGTCACTGAAAGCACTTATGATTATGCTTTCTTCATAAAAGACACAGATTAGGAGCAGCCAGATGGGACACAGGGTGGGGTCAAGGAGTGGCAGATGCAGGAGGGTCTGTACCCACGGGATCAGACCCTCCCAGAACACCAGAAGTTCCTGAGCCAAAGGTTTTGTTATATAACCACACTCCATTAGATCACTGACCATTGGTGACTGAACTTAATCACTAACCTCTCTCTCTCCTACCTGGAGGTCAGGGGTAGAGCTGGATGCTTTTCTTTCTGGTGACTAGTCCCACATGAAGCTATGGAGACCCCCAGATGACCAGCCCCCATCTGAAGTTATGACTTGGCTATACCTCAATTGAAATGGAGTTGGGCTAGAGTAGAGTTGTATGGCAATTTCCTCCCAGATAAAATATTCCATCTAGGAGGGAAGCTCATTAAGATGCAGAATGTTCCTGGCTGGTGGCACATGCCTTTAATCCCCAGCACTCAGGAGGCAGAGGCAGGCAGATCTGTGAAGATTCTGGCCAGCCTGGTCTCCATAGTGAGTTCCAGGTCAGCTGGAGCTAGTGAGGAGACCCTGTTTAAAAAAAAAATTTCAGGGTGCTCTAAGGAGAAGTGGAACATGCCACTACCCTACAGGGAAGTTCATTAAGACTCAGGAAGTAAACAACTCAAAAGCTTCAGGAAGTCCCTGAAACTGACCAGATTAACTAGGTCCCTCCCTTCCCAAGCTTATATAAGCCATAAGGGCTGGTGAGAGACACTCTCAGACTGAGAGCTGCAAGGAAAATATACTCTCCAGCCTCTTGAGCTGCATACAGATTTTTCAGTGAGCTCCAGGTTTCCACCTTTTGTGAGCTGCCACCCAGGCTTGGGCCAGCTTTTAGTGATGCAGCTGTCTTTGAAACATTTCTGCTCTTGTAAGTAACCCCAATAAAACTCTGAATCACCAAGTTGGACTTTTGTGATATTCTTACTCTGATCTGTCTTTGATCCCAATCTGGGGTAAGTAGACCTTTGTTCATGTCTCCCCAGGAATAGTGTCACACAACAGGTAGATTTCTCACAGAGGAGTACACCTGTCAACAGCAGCGGGAGGTAGGTCAAAGACTCAGCACCATACTGCTTGCAACAACCTGAGGAATTATTTCCAGAAATATCTTCTTGGGTGGAGGTGCCAAAAAGAATACTGACTACTGGGCAAGCCAGTGTTGATAGAGAGTGTAAACTTCAGGAAAGCCATAAACTTCATTAGAGGAGGCCATAAAGGCATAAATTCTTTAGAGTGGCTAACTGTCCCTAAATTAGCAGTCTGCCTTATCAACTGGTCACTCCGGGAACTGAGGGAGACTGTTTGTGGAGCCCATCTGTCTCCTTTAAGGCCATAGATAACACACCTGCCAACTCTGAGGAAATAGTCTTAGGAAGAAGACCCCTCAATCGTTCCTTGGACACAGGACCCTGGCCCTAAGTCAACTCCTGCAAAGTGCAGCTGTGCCTAATAATTTTCTTATAAAAACCTCAAGGTTTCTTAGTCACGTCATAGATGTTTGATCCCGAGGTAGCCTCTACCTCTCACTGTGCCTTCTTGCAATAAAAGAAGACATATTCCTTGCCTGTTGCAGGTCTGGCTCTGGTTCTTACTTCATAACTTTAAACTCCTTTCTTTTCTATTCTCCAAAAACCTAACAAGTATGAAGCAGAGTTGAGTTTTGTTTTGTTGTTGTCTGTTGTGTGTTTATTTGTTTTACTGTGTTGGGTTATGTTGTGACAGGGTCTCACTGTGCAGCTCTGGCTGGCCTGGAATTCATTATGTAAACCAGACTGACCTCAAACTCAGAGATTCACCTGCCTCTGCCTTCAAAGGCATATACTACCATGCCTGGTTCAGAGTTGGGTTTTATTGGAACTCAGTTTTAAGTACAGGTATTAACAGTAATGAGAATGGGCTAGAGAAAGTGGTCAGTTTGTGGAGGGAGACTTCAAAAATGAGTAATTCTGCTTCTCCTCCTTAGCAACCAATTCTGTCTTGGCCAGAAGCCAGGAAAGCCCTTGGTTCTGTTGGTGGTTCTGTTCTGGCCAGAGGCTAGAAAGACCAAAACTGTTTAGGGGCACTGGTTACTGTTCTGGTTTCTTATTTTTATTTCTTTTCCTTTTACATAGGAACTTAATGAGCACAGCTGCCTGGAAGTTGTACATGATCAGATATTTCATTGACCCTGGTATGTCAGAAATCCAGGCCTAACACCAGGATGGAGAGGCACATGAATACCTTGTCATGAATGGATCACCTGGGCTGACCAACTCATACCACCCTCCATGCCTCAACCCAGTGAAGCCTTATTAACTCCAACAGCAGGACCTTCAATGGCATCCCGTCCTTGGAACCTGCTCCTGCTATATATAGGAGCTCTATTTGCTTTCTTTCTCCTAAGCTTTTATTTATAATAAAGCTGTTGCCGATAATAAAACTCCTTTCTAAAACTCACCCTTCTGTTGTGCACGAAATTCATTCTTCAAGTTTGAAAGACAAAGGACCCAGAAGCCACTGGCCTGGGGTGGCTTCGGTGGGCATCAGTCATTCAGGATCTTAGTCTCCCAAGCCACACTCACCTGAGACAAAAAACCTCCATCATACTCAAGTATTCCCCCATTTAGCCCCTCCAATAACATTAGAAAGAAAGGCACTCAGGGATAAGACACACACTCAAGTATGGGTGCAGGCTTCTCCAAAGAAAGTCAACATTTTAAGTGTCTTCACAATAGCCATATGTATTATTTTGTTGGCTTCTGAAGTTACATCTCAAAGGGTTCCTTACTTACTGCCAGGTATGGTGGCGCATGCCTTTAATCCCAGCACTCGGGAGGCAGAGGCAGGAGGATCTCTGTGAGTTCAAGGCCAGCTTGGTCTACATAGTGAGTTCCAGGACAACTGGGGCTACAGGGAGACCCTGTCTCAAAAAAGATCGAAAAAAAAAAAAAAGTCAAAGGGTTACTTAAATGAGATCCCAAGGTGATTCCTAAGATTCACTGCATAGGATCAAACTGATAAGGTAAAAACCCTGTTATTTTATTCAGTTTATTTTTAATGTCTATGAGTGTATTGCTTGCATGTATGTAGGTGCACCCATGTCATGCAATGCCCATGGAGGTCAGAAGAAGGCGTCAGATTCTTTGGAATTGGAGTTACAGATGGTTGTTAACTGCCATGTGGGTGCTGGGACTCAAACCTGGGTCCTCTGCAAGAGCAGTCAGTGCTCTTAACCACTGAGCCATCTCTCCAGACCCCCCCCCCAAAAAAAACTTGTTTTCATGGTGCATAAAAGTTTATAGTCTCAGGGCTGGAGAGATCATTCAGCAGTGAAGAGCACGGCTATTCTTGCAGAAGACCCAGGTTCGATTCCTAGTACCCACAAGGTAGCTAATAACCACACATAACTCCAGTTCCAGGAGATCAGACACCTTCTGACCTCCGTAGGCATTGCATGGCAAGGGTGCACTTACATACATGCAGACAATACACGCATACACATAAAATAAAAATAATAAATAGGAGCTGGAGAGATGGCTCAGCAGTTAAGAGCACTGACTGCTCTTGCACAGGACCCGGGTTCGATTCCCAGCACCCACATGGCAGATACGAGCCATCCTTAACTCCAGTTTCAGGAGAATCTGATGCCCTCTTCTGACCTCCAAGGCATTGCATGACATGGGTGCACTCACATACATGCTGGCCATACACTCATACACGTAAAATAAAAATAACAATAAATAAAATAAAAATAAATAAAATGTATATTTTTTAAAAGTTTATAATCTTGCCAGGTGTGGTGGCTCATACCTTTAATCCCAGCACTCAGGAAGCAGAGGCAAGTGGATCTCTGTGAGTTCA